ATTGACCACCCTAACTAAATGGATTTATATTTCAGAGACACATTCATGCAATAATTTATGCATAACACAAACACTAATGATAAAGAGCTTTTGTTCCATACCTGCTCTTAAAAGAATATTTAGACATAATATGTTTAGACAACTTTAATATTACTCATAATCAAAACTAATCAAGGGAAAAATTTATAAAAATATGTAATAATATGTAGTTGTGCATTTAACTCTTAGATACATGCTATTGAATACATAGCATACCTTCTTCCTGTTTAGAAATAAAACTATAATAATACTATATGTGGTGCATTTTAAAGATTTTATATCTAATTTACAAATAGCCTAAGTTAAATAGTTTATTCCTTAAGAGACAAATATTTTAGACTACTTAGATACTATATAAATTGAAATATATGTTGATAGACACTTATTAAAATACAAACACAAAATAGAATTTTTAGTAAACTAACTTCTAATTTTATAATCAAAATTTTAAATTATTAATTATATATCAGCTAATGACAGGTCATGGCAAGGTTTAAGGGGGGTTTTGCACCCACCATTAAAGTAGAATTTTTAAATTAGAGTTTTAACCTAATTAATATTTTAATGCTATACTTTTCATATCAACATTAATTAATAATAGCATTAATTATTTTTCGTAATAAAAACTTTTGATAATGCTAACTGGTTTACACTCCCATTAACTTAGCTAATATAATGATACTTTGTTGTATTTTGTTGATAATTGTTGAAAATTGTTGAAATGTTGTTTGGGCAGTCTCAAGAGACTACAAGGTTGTTTTGGTATTCTAGGTTGATGGCATTGAAGCCAAAGTGATAGAAATTTACAATCTCGGCATGCTTTTTATTGATGATCCAAAAACAATCAATGTGAAGGTTAATATAATTACAACAATTCCAAAAGGTCAAGACTGAAATTTAACTCAGAGAAAAATTAGCTTCTTTTTATAGAGAAATTGTAAAACAACTGTAAAAGTTATATGACATTCCTAATTCTGGCACCACTTGGCATCAGTGTTGTTGATGTTGCTGCTGGATGTTCGGTCTAACACATATTTTATACAATAGCTGTTAATAATGTAAATACTACTTATATATCTATATCTCCATCTAATATTTCATATTGCATTTCAAAAGTTAATTATAA